AGCTGTTCCTCAGTCTGTTTGTTCGGGCTTTGATGGCTCTGTATCTCTTCCCAGATAGCAAGAGGACAAACAAACTGTGACCTGGGTGACACCTTGTTGTTTTCTTTTGTCAATAAACACTTTGTGTTTTAAAACATATAAAAACACTCTACTCTGAATAATGTTTTGTGTCTAATGTGATTTTTCCAGAAATAAAAGTTGTTAACAATTCTTTAAATTACATCTATTTCTTCTCGCTCATTGGAAAACCCAGAATCAATGAATGTGCAAAAATCGTTTTTTAACTGCTGAACACTGAAGTCCATTCTGAGGCTATGTGCTCCAGAGGCTGCAAAGGAAAATCTGAATTAATTAGGGCTGCAACTAAGATTTTCTTCACCGATTAATCTGTCAATTTTATTAATTGTTTAGTTGTTCAGTCTATAAAATATCAGAAAATGGTGAAAAATGTCAGTCAGTGTTTCCCAAAGATCAATATGACGTCCTCAAAGGTCTTGTTTTGTCCACAAAGATATTCAGTTTACTGTCACAGAGGAGCAAAGAAACTATTCACATTCATGAAGCTGGAACCAAAGAATTTTTTAAATCAATATCATAAAACATAAAACACTCACCACAGGCAACTTTAGAGTCAGGGTCTTGACTCAGGTACGCATCGAGTACGGCATCACTGATCTGATCGCACATTTTGTCTGTGAACACAAAGCAAGAGGCGTAAAAGGAAAGGACAGGGACAAGAGGCCTCGACTACACATTCATGTTTTTGACTACAGAGATAAATAATGTTCATTGTCATGCTCTTATTATTTTATTTTGGGAATTTGGGGGAAGTCAAGGTCCCAAAAAGGGATTTGTTTTTGATAATCTTCATAATTCAATTGGCTTTACTGGCTTGACATTTTAGTTTAAACCACATGTTGCCAAAGCAGAAAGTCACATATATAATAAAACAATAAAATAATCTGTCTACAACAAACAAAAAAACTTCAGAAATTCCTTCATTTGATCATTTGTATATACACAAGTTTAATAAAACAAATATTTAGTCTTTGTGGCCTCATTAGTTTAATCTTATTTTTATTACGGTAGTTTTAAATAGTTTAATATAGACGCATACAGTAAAAGTACTCAAGTAAAGGTACAATTAGCTGCATTTCTGATCATACCTTTCTACTTTTATCTGCCTAACATGTTGAATTCAGGACTTTTACGCAGTATTTTTACACCATGTTATTTCTACTTGTACTTTAGTAAATGATCTGAGTACTTCTCACACACAGCTGCCTGCAACAGAGCCTCTTTGTGTCCACACGTGTCCACAGAAAACTCTGAGTACTACAGTTTCACAGATAAACAGGAGTACAGTACCGGAGTGTCCCTCTCCCACAGACTCGGATGTGAACAGGAAGGTCTTCCCGGTGCGGGATCCGCTGGGGTTCATCTTCAGCTCCTCGCTCGCTGCACAAAAGGGAACTAAAAGCGGCTAAACGTGGCGGAGCAGCGCTGATTTCAAGAAGCAATTATTAACTACGAGGCGTTTTGCAGCAGGCACGTTTTTCCGACTTGGCACCGGCGGATTTAAACTTTAGCGGAAAAAAAACAAAAGGAAACAAACAGCCGATGCGACTTTTCGCCAGTAGTTAAAAAGCAACAGGAGATGTGTCGTAAATCTATATAACTTCGAACTAATTTTCTTTTCGGTGGGTTTTCTGTAAATGGCTTGCTGGATAATCTCAAGGAGGAATGTTTCCAATTGTGAAGTCCTTCAGGCAGCAGCCAGGACAGCCTCAAGATGTCGCTGTTATGACGCAACACGTGAGCTGAAGGATTTAATATAACATTATATAATACTTTAATATAATATAAAGTAATATAATAATCTTTATATAATATAATTTAATATAATACAATACTTTAATATAATCTAATATAAAACAATATAATTTAATATAGTAATATATTATATAAGACTATAATATAACAATAATAACATTTATATAATAATAATAATAATAATACACATACGAAAATAATGTAATACTATTACTAATTTAGTTACATATTAATATCATCAGGAGTTAAAGAAGTAAACATCTTTTACATAAGTAAAAACAGCAAAACCACAGTATACAAAATACTCACTGTTACAAGTAAAAGTTCTGCATTCAAAATTTTACTTAACTAAAAGTGCTTACTATGCAGAATGGCCCGTTTCATAATAATTGATCTTAAATTAATGTAATATTATTATAAGTATTAGTTGCCACTGGTAACGTTGGGGCTTTACAACTGCTGGGTAGCTTAGCTTATGAAAATATTATCATCATTTATTAGATGATTTATATTTTGTATTGATAATCTCAGTCTGCAAAGCAACTGGTAACTAATGTTGTCAAATAAATGCAGGGGAGTTAAAACTACAATATTTACCCCTGAGATGTAGTGGAGTACAAAAAAGCAGAAAATGGAGATACTCAAGAAAAGTACAAGTACACCTACTTTGTACTTAAATACAGTATTTCAGTAAGTGTACTTTCCACCTCTGCATATGATATACAGAATATAAGTTACACAAAAGTGAAAAGTAACAAGGATATTTACTCAAATGGATCTGAGGTAGAACTGACTGTGGCTCAGTCGTCCGCTGATTGCAGGGTTGGAGGTTTGATCCCCAGCTCCTCCTCCCGTCCACCAATCGAAGTGTCCTTGAACAAGACCCTGAACCCCAAGTTGCAGTTTGTCCAGGCTTTGCATGGCAACTTCCCTCTTTACTGGTTTCACTGTCACCACTTTCATAGTGTGAAAACCACTCTGTACCCCACCAGCCCAGCAGACAGCAGACTGGCTGGTGAACAAAGTGGAGCATTTAGCTGCTAAAGAGACAGATATTTGTTTCAGGATCTGGTGGAGACCATAAACAGAGCTGAAAAAGAAAGTGAACTGTGGATTCATCATTCATCAGGTGGACCCAAACCTGACTCTGGCTAAATGATAATGTCGCTCCATGGGTGAACAGGGAACCGTTTGCTGACAGAGTACGGTTACTATGGTTGAGGATGCGCTTGGACAGTCATACCAACTAGCCTGGCTCTTTGGCATTGTGGTCAAGTTGCATGTTTTGGTTGAGGTAGACGGTGTTTGTTCATGGTGGGAATTGTTTGGTCTCTGTAAATAACATCACAAAGATTATGGTGTAGACCTGCTGCACAACAAGAGCAGTAAAAACTTAACATCACAGCCTTCACAGAGGAGAGATTTATTGCAGGGCTAGTAAAATGAAATGCATTATATTGTACTGGTGATCGATTTGTTGTATTTAACCCCTACGATATTAAAACATTTTACTCTTCTAATTTTAATACTCCAGTGCATTGGCCTATCTTAATTCCTCACACTGAGTATGAAAGTCAGACGTCTCACCTGTACAAAGTCCAAGATTACTATGATTGCTTATATAAGTCGCAACTGGTACTGCTAGGTTGCATACTACACTTTCATTCGTAAACACTGCACGTGTCTACTTAGTATAATACTCAAGTCAATAGTACATTTGCATATATATATATATATTTTGATTTGACTTTGAACATTCATATGTGCACATTGTTTCTTTAGTACTTGGCAAGCATTCACCAAACTGTAGCACACTCCCAATGTTCAGTTTGTATGACTCATAGCCAGATCCTCTTTGTCAGGGGAGAACATGCTGAGCTCAGTGAAGCTGCAGAAGGACTTTTTCACCTATTTAAACTTAAGGATTAATGCGATCGACACATGAATGAGATAACGAATTATCTTTTGACTTTTAAAGTAACTAAGCACATTTATTCAAGTATTATACTTCTGAGTTACTTAAGTGAGTGTTTGAACTTCAGCTTTATACTTTTAATTCACTGGTGACTTTGCAGATCAAAAAACCCTATAATAAGAACTGTTAAGCAGTAAATTAAACCAACACAACATAAAACATAAATAAAATCAGCACAAGTGCAGCCAGTATCAACATGTAAAATAATAAATCTTATTTGTTACTGTATCAATAATATTAATCTAATTGTATTATATAATAATGGAACAACAACAGAGCGTCATTTTACTTTTAGTATATTTTCTTTTTTACTTAGGTTTACTTAGAGTTTTATTTTTATAAACAGAGTAAGTTATCATAACACTTCTTGTACCAAGGCTGTTACTGCTACCAATACACAGTCTATTCCTCTTCCTCCCTACCCTGCTCTCTACTTCCCTGTGTTGGACTGATGGTGCACACTGTTCTACACACACACACATTATGATTGTTGTGGTGCAATGCATGAGGGGAAAAATCACAGAGTGGAACAAATGGTGGTGGAGAAGGATTAGCATTGAGTTAAAATCATATTAGAGTCATGTGGTGTGAATGAAGCAACGCCATTGCTTCCTACAGCGTATCCCTTCACATTTGGGATAACAAGACATCCAATAGTTGATGAGATATTTAAGTCTGGACAAAGCCTAGAAAATTTGTTGCATTGTTATAAAGTACCAAATCGTATATAAAATTTAACTTTAAATTAACATAATTAAAATGAACTCCACCTAAACCAACTAAATGTTTTCTGCATCAGCTTACTACTGCTTTTGATAGTTAAAGTAAATTTTGCTGCTCATAGTTTTGCATTTTCACTTAAGAAACATTTTAAATCCAGTATTTATATTTTACAGTTTTGCTAAAATAGGCTATAATGTAATAAATTATCAGAATACTTCTTGGTCGGTTTAATTAACACAGACTTTAAATTACAGTGCTGGTAGGTGTTGTGAAATTTATTTTATGCAAGAGATTATAGTTCTTCTACACGACTAAAGCAGTAAAAAGTTTTAACATGGACTGTTAAATGCTTTATTCTTAAACCCAGTGCCAAACTGGGCACAAGTCACACTGCGAGGCACTGCCCAGCTGCTGTAGCCTACTACTGAAATAACAAGCTGCACAACACAGGATGAGGAAATTAGGTGAAGCAACATGGTGACTTCACTCCTTTATTGCCATACAAATATCCCTGCGTTGAAAACAGAGCCCTTTGCCCAGACATATCAGATCAGCACAGGCTTGCATCCGTTGCTCTGACAGCTGATGGTATGTAGACAACTGGAACTAACAGAAAACTGATTAGCTGAAATGTGTTCTTTCTTTTCTTAAAATAACATCTAAAAGTGCTGATATTTATGTACTTTGTGTGATGAATTTGTGGCAGCACGGTTCATGAAAAGCAGGAAATGAAAGTGCTGCCAGTTCATGTTCCGGCTTAAATCTTTGTGGTGTTGATGACCGGCTCTTATTGAGCCAATGGGACTTTGACTGAGGCAACAGGTTAGTTAATGAGTAACAGGAAGAGTCCAACCTTCAGCAGACATTTGTTCAGCTCTTGTTGTATGTCTCATTTAGTCACAAGAAGCACAGATCGCTGTGTTTGTTTACTATACAGGCAGGACTGGATAACAGGACTTCTTTTTTTGTATGAAGCCGAGTTGTTTTGTTGGTTGTGACTGAGAAACAGTGCTGCTATGGTAAGTTTTTACACTTTTGTGAAGTTTTTATTGTAAATATTGTTCTTTATTTAGGTTCTTTCAGCTTGATACCATCGGAAATGATTCTCTGTCTATATCCATGCTAGTTAGACGGTTTTACTTTGTAACCACAGTGAGGTTTTGTAATCACACAGGCCTCTGTGAAGTGACTCACAGCTGATAGAGCTCTTTTCCTGTTATCTTAGTTGCAGGAAGGGAAATTTGTTTTTTAAAAATAGTGGCTGCAGAGGTTGTTGCTGTAAATTTCACTTTCAATGCGGTTTGTGTGCTGGTATATCTGGAAATTGTGATTAAAACTGAACAATGTGTTGTTCGCAGGCTGACACAAACTCCCAGCCACCGGCCTCTGGCTCGTCGGCTAAAATTGACCAAGTGCAAAGTCAGGTGAACGAGGTTAAAGTTATTCTGAAAGACAACATCAGCAAAGTGCTGGAGAGGGGGGACAGATTGGACGATCTGATCGACAAGACTGGTGATCTGCAGGCTTCTGTAAGTATCTGATCATGATGGTGCAGGCTGAGCTCTCCACACTGTTGTTAAGAGATTTTCTTCTATATATATATGACTCATTAAAACCAGGCTGTTTAAACTACGTTTTACAAATACAAACTTAATACTTTTACTTCTCACTATATTTCAGGGGGAAATACTGTACTATATTAATGTACCCAGCTATAGTGAGTAGTTACTTTTCACATTAAGATTTAACATAAGAAAAGCTTATAAAATATAGGGGTTTCAAACTTTGCTTTGAATCTTTCAGTATCTAGTTAGGGCCCCTTCTTCTCAGATGGTTTCCTTTAACTCCCATTTTAAGGTCCAAAGAGATATTTAACAAAAAGGCAAAGATTAAAGAAACATTAAACATTTGAAAACTAATTTCTGCAGCAAAATGTTGTTTCTTTTTTCCAACCTCATAAATCAGCTCACAATCCCTCAGTTTTATCTTGTGATTCATAAATTACATTTATTTTATTTACAGTTGCTTTTCTCTAAAGCGTCTAAATTGCTATACATGTCAGAGGTCGCACACCTCTGGAGCAACTAGGGGTTAAGTGTCTTGCTCAGGGACACAATGGTCACAGCGGGAATCAAACTAGGGTCTCTCACACCAAAGGCAGGCCTCTTATCCACTGCGCCATCACTACTACCCATCTGTATATAAAGTACTTAAAACTACTAAACAGTAAAACGCTGCTTACACGTGAATTCATCCATATTAACAATCTAACGTCATTTATCAGTCACAGGGGACATTTTACTGCAGAATGAGTACTTCTACTTGTTTTTATTGTATTGGTACATTTACTTAAGAGTACTCCACCAATTTATTATTGCAGTCATATAACACTGTCAGACTCTTGGTGGACATTTTAAAGTAAAATGATTAAACTCAATGCTGCAGAACCAGAAATATTCTCTCTTTTATTCCACACATTCTTCTTCTTCCTGGTCAAAACCTGGTGCCTACATTACCCAGGGTGGTGATGGCGCAATGGGCTTTGATGTGAGAGACCCATCCACTATTAACCACTAAAGACTAAATACTCCCTGTCGACTGATTTTATTGTGTTAAATCGGTTGAGTTTAAGTAAAGGACCTGGGTACTTCTTCCATCACTGGGTGTTTTACCAGGTTTTCCGTTATTTTTCTTTTCAGGCTGACTCGTTCCAAAGAACATCCACGCGGGTTGCCAGGAAATACTGGTGGAAAAACATTAAAATGATGATTATAATTGGTGTAATTGTGCTGATCATCGTTATCCTCATCATCCTCTTTGCCACAAAGGTTATATAAATCCTCTTCCGTGCCCTTCCACCAGCTCAGGACTAAAAAAATCAAGATGGTGAAATGAAGCTCACCTACAGACGGCTTTTATTAAGCATTTTAGAATATAGTTGCTCTCAGGACAGAGTCTCTAGTCATTTCAGCTCGAGCTAAAAGACGTGTTGTATTTCAATATCAAAAAATGTATGTAAATTCAGACTTTGGAACTCTGCAATCTTCTTGAAGCGGTTAGTCTACGTTAAAAGCTTATGATGTGAAGATGAAATTCAGAGCTGGAGAGCTTAAATTGTTAGAAACTTGGCTGAAATTCTTCCTTGAACACTCCAACAGTCATTAACATTATTTCACAAAGGATCACAAATCCAAATGAGTGTTTATTATTTTTATTTTGTCGCATTTCTTTATGTCTAATTACCTGTATATATATATATATATATATATATATATATATATATACACACACACACTGTATGTGTATGAATGTCAAACTCTGTAATAACATATGTATTATATGACTGATGACTATGATAAAGAGGATAAATTGTAACAACGCATATCATTTCTTTGCTACCACAGTAATGTATAAATGTGATGTTCTGTTCCAAACAATCTAACACTGCAGTTATGTAATAAATGAAGCATTTCACAAAAAGTGTTTGAGAACAATAAATACAAAAACAAGAAGGGATGAAGAACACAAGCTGCTAGAACTTTGCAGTAATCTAAATAAATGCAAAACATCAAAATCCAGAACGTTTAAGATACAACGAATACTCAGGTAAATATAGAGGAAATGTGCTGTAGGTCACAAAGTGCTCTTCATTTATAGTCTTACAATCAGCTAGTGATCTTTGCTGGATACCATCATCTCTCTGGCCAATGCTCCACCAGCCCACAGCTGTCTTTCATCACTCTGAAACCTATGAAAAACAAACAAACAAATCAGCTATAGACGAACGAAAAACTGTGAAATTAATTTAAAAGAAAAAAAAAGACATATAGGAATCCCCCGTGTTTATAATGTCCAATGAAAAACAAGCAAACTGAGAACCATTATTTTAACATTTTACAGTTAAAAAAAAAACTTAGTCCATAAGCTAGAAATCCTGAAGTGCAATAAATTGAAGAGGTCAAAGCCCAAAATACTACGTGGAAGAAACCTTCGACTGGTCAAAAATACACATTAAAGAAAAGCATTACATGCAAATTTCTGCAAATGTAGTGACACTTGTTGTTTTACAAAAGGTTATAAAAGAGGAAAATTCATTACAAGAAAATTAAGAAAAGGAGGAGTCTTTTCCATCGCTGTCAGTGTAACAAAAACAGAACAATACATGTACACAAAGTAAAGCACTTTATCCCCCAACACGGTAGAGTCCAACTACGAACCAGGTTTTAGCTCATGGACTACTGGCTACAAGAGCTAAATAAAGAAACAAGCATTTTAGATAAGATTAGGAATGCATATATTAACAAAAAGGAACTGGGAAGTCCAGAGAATGCTGTACATATCCTTTGAAAAGCAAATAGTTATTTTTGTCATATTTATAATCATTACTTGTGGGGGAGTAAGGGCCTGTAAAAAATGACAATTACACGTGTATATTTTAAGTTTTACATTACAAACAGTTGCAAAGAAATTAAAATGGAAAGAAAGGTGACAAAGCTGGACGTGTCCCATATTGTTTTAGTTTAGAAATGCTGATACAGGATGTTGTAAGACCATACCAAATGGCAGCATTCGAGAGCGTATGCTTCTCGTACCCGGTCCGCATTGAGCGGGCCCTGAGAGTATCTGGGAGTCAGCTCATGGCCTGCAAGGAAGCTCCGCTGGCAGGTACAAACAAGGTATGTCAGAGTTAGGAGACAACATACTTCCTTTTCTGTTTCCTTGCACATCCTTAACTTTGGCATCCATTTACTGTAGTAGCAGTACTTTACCTGTTAACTTTACAGTTTAAAAAAAAAAGAAGGTGCAAAAGAGGCAGCAGAAGGCCGGCTGTTAAAATAATCGTGTAGCCTCTATGTTACCACTACTGTAAAGCACTTCAGGGTGCTGAGAAAAAGAAATTTATAAGAGGAAATTACACATAATGTTACCAAACAACAAAGTAAATATGACTACTTTAAGTTTACAGTAAGTAGTGTAGTAAGTTGTGTTTACATACCTACTTGAAGATGAGGGTTTCCCCCATTAATACGGCTTGTAACTGTTGGTGTGACCACCACGGCGTGGTGACTTGCCATATCCACCAGATTGATCTACAAGTGTGGAAGAAAATATTCTCATTTCTAAAGTAACAGAAAATAAATCCAAGAGTTGACATGAAACTGAAGATCATGAAGGTTTGTTATTCATGTGTTTCCTTACCGTTGTAGTCACCATATCCGTAATAGTTGTTGTAAGCAGGGTAATCATAGCCGCCATATCCTCCATATCCTTGATTATTGTACCCATAATTGCCATAATTGCCATAGCCTTGATTCCAATAGTTTCCATAACCCTGATTCCAGTTTTGACTGGGACCTGCAATTAAACAGTATTAATTAAATGTGTTTCATCACTTTTTTTTTTGTAATCACAGGACATCACATCTGCTTCACTCTAATCAAGACTTTTTTCAGCCTTAAAACCTTGAACCCGGCTGACGGCAGGAAAATAACATGCAACAAGGATCTCCCAGCCAGACACGAACCAGGGACGCTGTGGTTTGTGGTCTGTGCCACTCATCCATCAGATTAAGTGTCAATCTGTGCAAAAACAGTGAGTAAAAATGAAAAGTTGGTGGTTTATGGGGGGTTGTGTGGCGGACTATTTCTTGGGCAGGGTCAGTGACTTACTGGAGTCTTTGTCAACGTCACGACCGGACACCAGGAAGTCACTGTGCCCTTCCAAGAAGCAGTTTGGCACATAAACCTCCCACAACACCACATCCTGTAACCTTTACTCTGGTTGTTTTGTATAGATATAAAAAACAAGATACTACATGTTAGTTAGTGATCTTTAGGAGTGCCAGCTATTTCCCCGTTTCTATTCTTTATGCTAACCGCCTGCTGGCATAGCTTCATATTTACTATAAAGACACGAGGCTGAAAAATGTTTATTTAAAGAAATTACTACAAATTGATTAAGTGGGTCCGACACTATGATTTCTTCTTCCAAAGTTTCATCTGTAAGAATTATTTATATTTTTCTTCACATGTAACGCAAATGTTTTCTCCACTCACCACCACCTCTGCCTCGAGACCTGGATGAGTATCCACCTCTGCCTCCCCAGTACTGCTGCTGCTGGTACTGCTCCTTGGACATTGCCACTTTTATTTCACACTAAAGGAACACCAATTAAGCTGATTTAATTCCAGAGTGATCATGTGTCAGTCTTTCATAAAAGTCACCATAATATGTGCCAAACAAACTTCCAGGTGAGAGAAAAAGGAGCCTGTACCTTGCTAAGTCCAATATTGTGGTACTTTTTCTCCATGATCCTCTTAACCGGATCTTCCTCTTTGAATGTGATGAAGCAGAAGCCTCTCCTTTTGTTTGTTTTGTTCTCCATGGGAAGTTCTATTGACTCCAGCTGAGCGTATAAAATAATATTTAGTGGTCTTCATGAAAAGTGTTAAACTAGTTTTATGAAAGGAAAGAATTGGCAGATATATTTTGATGTACAAGCACTTAGATGGATTTTTATTTACATGTCGGTAGCCCTACATAGGGGTGGGCGATCTGGCCAAAAAACATTATCATGATCTATTTAATCGCAACCACGATCAAGATTGAAATATTTTTTCTTAATTTTAAAATGCCGTGTAGTCTATAGCCACACTTGAAACAGCCTGAGACACATTACTGAATTGGAAATACTACACTGGTTTCAAAATGGTGATAAAAAAATCGCATTTAATTTGAAGTTGTAAAGAGAAGCCAAATATATGATACCGGTAATAATTAAATAACACTTTTCAAGTTCTCAGAAGCCAATTGCATTGTTTAGTATACGTCACCCGAAGAAGAGCCACGTGAAGTAATTCATCCAATCAGCTTAGCCATCTAGTGGGCTACATCACTCTGTTGGTTTGTTCACATAGTGCAGATTTGGAAACAGAAGAAAGAGCACATTAAATACCACAATCTCTACAATTTGCCTGAAAAGCCGATTGTGGACTCCTTAGATCACGATCTCGATTTAAAACCGTCAGATTGCCCATCCCCTAGCCCTTCACATTCGTGCAAAAACTACAAAGAAATTCATAAAATGGATTAATATGACCCCAAAGAGCCACACACCCAAGTAAAAGCTAAATCTGAGAATGTTAGAAAAAAAATTACCTCTCCAAAGGCACTAAAGTACTCTCTGACTTTCTCTTCGGGAGTGTCTGGAGAGAGACCACCAACAAAGATCTTCTTTACGGGCTCCTTGCTCTTCATGGCCTTGGCTTTTTTGGGATCAATGACCTTTCCGTTGAGTTTATGCTCCTTCTGGGTGACAACCTTCATAACAAAATAATCAATTGACCGAAGGGGGTCATATAGAAAAATCATTTTTAAGTGTTAATTCACAACTTCTCCTCTTTACAGTAAAGACATCTGCCCTCAATGCGAATAAGGTTTAGTTGTTGTTAGCTCAATAATCAGAATTATTGTTTCAATTTACCACTATTCTCTTTATCAATTAATGTGCTGGTTCAAGTTCACACAGCCAAACAACATATTAAAATTGCTAATTTTGTCAGACCAACCGTCTGACAAACAGAGACAAGCAGGAAATACTCCCGTTAAAGAAGCTGCTAACAGCATAGGTTTTCAGCTTGAAAACAAATAATTTATCGATTATCAAAATAGTTTTAGTAGCCAACTAATTTCCTGTTAATCAACTAATCATTTTAGCTCTACTCCACCAATTCAGTTTGGATGTGGGCAATGATTTAGCCCCAGTTTTGCCTCTCGTGTATCAAGTCATAGAGCTAAGCATCAGATCGCTTTGGATAAAAGCGTCTGCCAAATGAGTAAACGTAAATCAGACTGTCCTATAAATAAGCAGGGCTTCTTTAATTACAGCAATAATTTAAGATTCAACTTCATGTAGCATTATATGCGCCTTGGTCTGCAGTTCATTCATTTAATTTAAAACATTACTAAAGGGAGCAGGACAATACCTTGTCAACACTATCAGGCTCCTTGAAGAGCACAAAGCCAAAGCCCCTTGAACGGCCAGTCATGGGGTCCAGTTTTAATGTGCAGTCTACAACCTCCCCATACTTGGAAAAGTAATCTTTCAGGTCCTTCTTGGTCGTGTCCCAGCTGAGCCCTCCTACAAACATCTTCCTATTGACAACACAGCACATTTATAGAAAACTATAACTACTTGCAGACTGAGAAACACAGCAGGTATCTTAATGGTACAATACTGTTTGGTTAAATATTTTTTAACCCTTTCATGCATGACGTCCACTACAGTGGAGAGACATTTGGAAGCTATTTAGAGCCATTTAAGTTATAGTACCATGTCCCAACCACCAAGTGGCGAACAAAGCCTTGTCTAACATTTGCATTTTTGATTATTATGTTTTACATGTCATTTTGATGTACAGCATCATAAACTCAAAACAGGGGGAGGGAAGTGGAGATGCAACAAGTGTCTCAACAATAACTGTAAAATGCTTTTATTCTCAGAAAACCAGCCAACTAAATAGGGTGTTTAGGCTGACTTTTAGCCAGATTTTTATTATATATTTCTTGCACATTTTGATCTGACTGTAAATACATCTGTCCACTACATGGCCTTATTTTGTATGTTTTATTTAAAATGATGATATAGTTTGCACTTGAATGATTGTATGTGTATAAATACCACTTACTTTTAGTAAATGTTTTTAAATGCATATAATATTTTGGCCCATATGTTGACTTCCACTGCATCACTTCGGTGCCGTTGATGCAAGGTGTCCACTGTAGTGCACACTAAAACTATATGTACACACTGGGGGGAAAAGTTTTTGTACTTCTTTAAAAGTAAAAACAAACAATTCATGCATGAAAGGGTTGATTATGAAGACTCGTTGTAAGTCTAACGTCGTACCCCTCATCCTCCTCGTTTTTACTGGCATCGATCCTGGATCCCTCGGCCTCGCCCCCCATCAGGCCGCAGTCCCCGGCCGCAGACATCGGGTCGTCGCTGTTCGCCTCCGCGTCCTCTTCCATTCTCATCATGCCGGTGTCCTCGCTGAACTCATAATCGTCCGACATGTTTGCTAACTAACTACAATATGTCGCTAAAACACGCTCGGGAACTTCAGAACTGGGGAAGCTAAGCTAGGTCGCTTGCTGTCAGCTAATGCTAGCTAGCGGCTAGCTAATATTCTGCTATCATATATATCGATCGCCGTGTCTCTTGGCGTTAATTACAGCAAGCTAGCTGGGTAGTATAGGTGAGTAAACGTGTAACGTTAGTCTGAATTTAGGCAAAAGTGTGTTTCAGTAAGGCGGAAATTAGTTTCAGTTGCTGTAATTTTTAGGGGTTATTTGTGAGCGTCGTTTTGTTTTCGTCGCATTTTCTTCTTCGGGTGTTTCTCGCGATTGCAGAGACGCGCTCAGTGCCGCCACCCGCCGAGCAGGAGGCCGAACCGAACATGCTGTGCATTCACGTTGTCTCGGGAAAAATCGGAAAAATGATTTCCCGACTGGGAAAATTCACGTGAACGTCACCTGTAAAAACGTATATAGACATGTTTATAAACATAAATCATCTACATGTACAAATTAAAGAAAAACAGACAGAATAGAACATAAGATTGAGTAAAGTAGATTCAAAATAATCTATTTTCACTTTGCGTATATCTATTATTTAGATTCTAGTACCTATTCATTAGTCACTAGAAACTATTCCAAAAGATACTAGTAATTTTCATTTTTATTCTTACTAGTAAATATTTTGGGTAACGCTAATGATAAAATAGCTTGTTGATAAGAACAGTAAGAATGGAAAAGTTACTAGTAACTAAGAAATAGATGATATCTGAAGAGCCCCAAAGATTTCAATGGCAAAAATGTGCAATTAGTTACTAGTACCTAAAAAATTGTTACTAGTAACTAAAAATTAAGCACTAGTATCTAAGCAGTTGTTACAACGGGGATAGTCACTAGTAACCAATTGAATAGTTACTAATAATTAAAAACTAGTAGCTTTTAAACAGCTACTAGTGAGTTTTAAGGAATAAATGGAATAAATAAGGAAGTTAAATGCAACTGTGCACCTTGTTCGAAAACATCAATATGGAAATTGTGAGGCCTGTGGAACATGTGCTATTTGAGTGCACTAAATACTCAAACCAAAGACTGGTTCTAAGAAATCGACTGAAACATGAAGGAATCAAACAAATAGACATTAAAACTATTTTCTCAAATAACTCCGGAAAGATGGTGCTTAAACACATCTTGTCTTTTTCACTGGACTGAACACAAGGATACAGTAGGTGACGATAATGCTCCATCTGCTTGCAAGTCGCCAGTTAAAAAGAAGAAGAAGAAGAAGAGGAAGAATATCCGAGGAGCACCTGAATGCATCAATGTGTGCTCTCTGTGTGTTTGAGTCGAGTCAGTGTTAGTTAGCTGCGAGGTGATGGCAAACACAGCGAGCTAGTGGCTAACAGCTAAACTAAGCGGTCCGTTTCTTAGCGCTTAGTTACTCTAGATTGCTTCACCTGTCCAGGTAAGAGAAGCAGCAGCAGCAGCAGCAGCGTTTCCTGGCGTTCAACTCTGTGGTGCTGCTAATTAAGCTAACGTCAGCTAACCAGCTGCAGACTCTCCTAAAAATGGCCACTGTTTCAATCCCTGCTTGTACCAGCGCACTCTTGCTGGATATTGAAGGAACGACCACACCGATCACATTTGTAAAGGTATGTTATATTAAAGAGAACATTAATTTAACAGCTTTGTTAGCTAATTGTGTAGCGCTAAACAACAGCTCATAAGGACCATGCTAACAGATGTCACCTAACAGCCAGCTAGCTTAGCTTGACGGTGTTTGTCGCAGTTATATTTCAATATAACGCTATTTTTCAGTTTTCTACTAGTATATTTAGTTGTTCGCTGTCTTCATTATTCTATTTGTATTTACTTTACATGCACAAACTGTTTAAAATATAATGATCAGACTAACAGTAACTCACTATCCGATGAAAACAAGAGCATATGCTGCGTTCAGGTCATATCGGAGTTATTGTATATTATGTAACGTTATTCGTTTTTAGTTTAGTATAAGTTTCTCACCTATAATTAACATTCACGTCAACAACTAATCTATAATTACCACTGGGAAATTATGACTTTTATCAGAGCGATATATCTGACGTTGTGCTTTCATAATAAGGAAGTGCCTGATAAACAAACTAACATGGAGCTGAAATCCGTAGTTCAATGTAACGTTACTGTAATTAAAAGCCTGGATCTAATATTCTTTTGTCAATGCATAGTATTTATAACTCTCACACGATCAACTTTGTTATCATATAGCTGTTAGGAGTTATCAGAGGACATCTTTCTCATCTTTACAATCTATCCCATCCATATCGTGAACGCAGCATAACAGTTAATATAGAAACTTATTAAAATAAGGGAAAATACAGTAACAGTAAAAACTATTAAGCATGAAAAATGTATATTCAATCTTGTTTTTGTAGATAAAAACGAACCAGTACATTTTGTGTGTGTGTGTGTTATACTTTTTTTTTCTCTCTGTAAGAAGCCTCAGATAAACACACCTAATGACTCCACTTTGTCATTTTCAGGATATCTTATTTCCATACATAAGGGAGCATCTTGAGGATTACTTGTCCGCTCACTGGGAAGAAGATGAGTGCAAACAAGATGTTCATCTCCTAAAGAAACAGGTAAATGCACAATGGTTTATTTAAGGGTGATCAACTGCATCTCTTCCTGCTATCAATCTCGTGTCATACTGAATGTCAAAAAAGTGTGTGTGTGTGTGTGTATATATACACAGTGGGTACGGAAAGTATTCAGACCCCTTTAAATTTTTCACTCTTTGTTTCATTGCAGCCATTTTCCAAAAATCAAAAGAGTTCATTTTATTTCTCAGTAATGTACACTCAGCACCCCATCTTGACAGAAAAAAAACAGAAATGTAGAAATTTTTGCAAATTTATTAAAAAAGAAAATGTGAAATATCACATGGTCATAAGTATTCAGACCCTTTGCTCAGTATTTAGTAGAAGCACCCTTTTGATCTAATACAGCCATGAGTCGTTTTGGGAAAGATGCAACAAGTTTTTCACATCTGGATTTGGGTATCCTCTGCCATTCCTCCTTGCAGATCCTCTCCAGTTCTGTCAGGTTGGATGGTAAACGTTGGTGGACAGCCATTTTCAGGTCTCTCCAGAGATGCTCAATTGGGTTTAAGTCAGGGCTCTGGCTGGGCCATTCAAGAACAGCCACGGAGTTGTTGTGAAGCCACTCCTTCGTTATTTTAGCGGTGTGCTTAGGGTCATTGTCTTGTTGGAAGGTAAACCTTCGGCCCAGTCTGAGGTCCAGAGCACTCTGGAAAAGGTTTTCGTCCAGGATATCCCTGTACTTGGCCGCATTCATCTTTCCCTCGATTGCAACCAGTCGTCCTGTCCCTGCAGCTGAAAAACACCCCCACAGCATGATGCTGCCACCACCATGCTTCACTGTTGAGACTGTATTGGACAGGTGATGAGCAGTGCCTGGTGTTCTCCACACATACCGCTTAGAATTAAGGCCAAAAGTTCTATCTTGGTCTCATCAGACCAGAGGATCTTATTTATCACCATCTTGGAGTCCTTCAGGTGTTTTTTAGCAAACTCCATGCGGGCTTTCATGTGTCTTGCACTGAGGAGAGGCTTCCGTCGGGCCACTCTGCCATAAAGCCCCGACTGGTGGATTGCTGCAGTGATGGTTGACTTACTACAACTTTCTCCCATCTCCCGACTGCATCTCTGGAGCTCAGCCACAGTGACCTTTGGGTTCTTCTTTACCTCTCTCACCGAGGCTCTTCTCCCCCGATAGCTCAGTTTGGCCGGACGGCCAGCTCTAGGAAGGGTTCTGGTCGTCCCAAACGTCTTCCATTTGAGGATTATGGAGGCCACTGTGCTCTTAGGAACCTTAAGTGCAGCAGAAATTTTTTTGTAACCTTGGCCAGATCTGTGCCTTGCCACAATTCTGTCTCTGAGCTCTTCAGGCAGTTCCTTTGACCTCATGATTCTCATTTGCTCTGACATGCACTGTGAGCTGTAAGGTATTATATAGACAGGTGTGTGGCTTTCCTAATCAAGTCCAATCAGTATAATCAAACACAGCTGGACTCAAATGAAGGTGTAGAACCATCTCAAGGATGATCAGAAGAAATAGACAGCACCTGAGTTAAATATGAGTGTCACGGCAAAGGGTCTGAATACTTATGACCATGTGATATTTCAGTTTTTCTTTTTTAATAAATTTGCAAAAATTTCTACATTTCTGTTTTTTTCTGTCAAGATGGGGTGCTGAGTGTACATTACTGAGAAATAAAATGAACTTTTTTGATTTTTGGAAAATGGCTGCAATGAAACAAAGAGTGAAAAATTTAAAGGGGTCTGAATACTTTCCGTACCCACTGTATATAGCCATAAATATTCTTCCTTGTTCGCCTCCTTAATCTGTTAAATTTTGGCGAGAATTCTTTTTTAAATGAGTATTTGCAAAAATGTTTTACATATGGTCAATTTAAGTTTGTTTAATTTGTCTAATAACACCCTGAAATTGGGGAATATGTGTAAAGTTATAGATGTAGATTATAATTTCTACAGTGTGTTTCTACAATAAGGATTTAAACACTCTTAAATTGGAGCAGAAAGTCAAATGTTTAACCTTTTTAATACATGTTTTATTTAATTTAATGTGCTGAAATAAAAAATAACAACAAACGTGGGGATGCAGGACTATGCAGATGCCCTGAAATAAAACCTAGAATGTCTTAAGTTTGCTCAAATCGTTGAGGGCAGGAAATTTAATATTTTTACTATAATTAAAAATGTTATATACAGGTGCATCTCAGAAAATTTGAATATTGTGTAAAAGTAAATTTTTTCTGTTATTCTATTATTTTGATGTATGTAGTTTTGATTTCGATGAGCTGAAAGACATAATCATCAAGATTTAAACAAAAAAAAGGCCTGAAATATTCACTCTTATGATGATGAATCATGAAAGTTTGACTTTTTGGCTTAAATTACAGGAGAAAAAACCTGCAGGTTTGTGGTCAAATACACCTGTGGATGACAAAAAAAGCTAGACTTTATTTTCTTGATTAATTAATTGTAAAAGAATACCGTTTGACCTCCACCTGATCATTGATGTTGTTTTTTAACATGCTGTAACGCTGCCTTTAATAAAAAGCCTGACTGTTGTGGCAGATTGAAGAAGACATGAAACAGCATCGTTCGTGCCCGGTCCACACCGTGGACCAGACGGTTCACACAGATGAGGAGAAGGCCATTAGGGAAGTAGTGGATAATGTGCTGTGGCAAATGGCAGCAGACAGGAAGTCAACAGCACTCAAACAGCTCCAAGGACACATGTGGAGAGCAGCTTATGCTTCTGGGAGAATCAAAGGCGAGTAAGTACACTGATCCTTTTCCTCACTTTAAAATTCATACATTTATAAAGGTTGCTCTGTTCAAACTGAAGTGCTGACTTGGCAAGGTTTCCAGAAACATAATCAACAGGACTTTCACAACATCTATTACCACCGTTACTGCATTTAAAACTGTGAAGATGGAAAACATAATGACTCGCATGGTTTAAATTGAAAAGTGTGTTTGTGTCCCACACAGAGAACTTTTACGTCCAGGAGAGTAGCTTTTTAAATGCTTTAAAGTCTCTGCATACAGTTGTAGTTTTCATTGGTCTGGTGATTTTTGTGTCATCATCAGTGTGTAAAAGTTATAATGCAGTCGGATCAGTGGTGACCAGTTAAATAGGCGTATATGGTGGTCATTTGCTTCCCAATTAGAGCTTAAACAATTTACTGATTTACTGCAGTTGTTAAAATTGCATTAATTGTTAAAGGAAACAATTGTAAGTAGTAGCCCTAGAGACAATTAGAATCAATATAATAGTAATAACTTTAATGATGTAGTAATAATAAACAATATTACAAATGGAATAATGTTTGTATTTAATGTTTTTATATGTTTGTGACAAACAAGACGAAACTAACTGGGGTTTGCAGATGTGCAGAAAGGATCGTGAGAGATTTCTCATATCGATATTAGATAAGATATATTTCAATCAAACATAAATAGGGTTCAAATAAATCCTCATCTCTTTGTAATCTATTCTTAAAATGCTCTTGAAACTATTCATAACAGATGTTTAATTTCTGAGGTCAAGACAATTTTGGGACCTAAAAGCGAGGTCAGTAAGCTTTTATATAAGTACTTTAAAAAAGGTTCATCTTCTGATTTCTGTCTTCTTGCAAACAGGATCTACCAGGATGTAATTCCATCGATCAAACGATGGAAAGGACAAGGACTAAAAGTTTACATTTACTCCTCTGGAAGCGTGGAGGCACAGAAGCTTCTGTTTGGATACTCTGTTGAAGGAGATGTTTTAGATGTAAGTACAGCCGCCTCTCTCATCATGTGTTTAATACTCAACAGAAAATTAAGTTAATTCAATACAAACATCTGACATTAGTTTCACATATATGTCTTTGTTTACCAACATTTCATCAGTGAAACACAGTTTGGCTAATGAGATGATGTTTTTAAAAATCCTTTCAGTTATTTGATGGTCACTTTGACACCAGTATAGGAGCTAAAGTAGACGGCAAAAGTTATGAGAGAATCGCAGAGAGGATTGGCTGTCAACCTGAGGAAATCACATTCTTGACGGACGTCACTCGAGGTAAGAATGTCTTATTATAAGTCAGTAGTAGGGGCTGAACGATTTGGGGGAAAAAATCTAATTGAGTTTTCTGCCCGATATTGCGATAACAATTCAAGTTTTGCTAAAGTTTAATATTGACTGCCAGTCTATTTTTGACGGAAGCCGTGTCAAGCAGCACAGAGCAGATGAACCAGACAGGAAGTCAGACACAGAACGGCATAGAGAACATGGTTGATTTTTTTAAATAAAACACCCTCTGCAGACTGTCAATCGTACATCAACAATAAACACAGTTAAAACTGTAAAAAAAAAAAAAAAAAAAAAAAAACGATTTAACTTTGTAGCCTACTTAACCACAGTAGAAGCAGAAAAATCAAGGATATCTGAACAAGTCAGCAAAATCAGACTAAAACTAAACTAAAACAAAAAGGCTCTTATTCTGAAATGCTCCCTGTGGATGTAGCCGTGCAGAGAGCAGAGCAGAACGGGCTCACAGCTCGAGCTGTTATCCGTAGCTGAAGCACACAAAATAACAACATGGTAACAACACGTAGGCTAAACTCTCCGCTGCTGAAACACTTCAGTGTGAGTTGACGGTGGACCGCGGCATAAAACCAGTTTCGTTTGTTGTCGTAAAATGTAAACGCCCTGTGCCTGCTCTGATTGGTGAGTAGGACCGTAACAGGAGGTGCGTGAAGCTTCTGATTGGCGAGCAGGTCTGTCACACAAGGATGACAACGAAATGAATTTGTAACTTCACTGTCTAAAACTCCTCATAAAGCCGTGAGCGTGGCTGTAGGTTCTTACTCTTGTTAAAGACGCCCTGTGGAGTTTTCATGAACACAGTTTCTGTTTACATTCAGCGTTCATCCCTGAGGCCTTAACAAACATGTTGAATGCATTTCCTTCCCCATAAAATGTTTGCAAAGCAGATCTTTTAGTTTTTTTTTTAAAACCTGCATTGTTTACATCCTGTTTACTGGCTTGCAATCGTCTTCTTTCGCGCCTTTTTTTGGCGCATTAGTTTGTTTATTGACACTTTAGCGCCACCTGTTGATCAGTGGAATAGCGTGACACCATTGACTGAAACAAAACAGGGGCCCACACATAAAAACATTGCTCCATAGCATTAAAGGCCAATTTCTACTTCTGCGTCGAATCTACGCCATAGCATATGCGTAGCCACGTATCCTATGCCGTAACTTGCGCCGTAACGTACGCTGTAGCCTGACGCACACAGCGATGCTGACCACAACATGATCTGCCAAGTTTCCGTCGCCGTTGTTTGTGGTAGCCTACAACAACAAGAACAGTGGCTAAACTCAAAACAGCTGTGAAGACACAGTGAAACATAGAAACGTCAACTAGCGATTTGGCGGTGTAATTGGAGAGCGACACAGACACTAACGTGTAAGTGTAAATGTTCACGATGGCTATGTGCAAACACTCGACGCAGAAGAATTAATATTGGTCAACATTTTTGAAGTAAGACCAGCTTTTGACTTTTTTTTTTTGCCAAAAAAATCTAAATGCATTTGACTTTCCAGTTCAGCTCTATTAATGTGGGATTAAATTGAATCTATACATACACTCGTGGATTTGTCCTTACAGAGGCTAAAGCAGCTGAAGACGCCGGGGTGAACGTGGCGGTGGTGGTCAGGCCTGGAAACATGGAGCTGACAGATGACGAGAGGGCCCACTATAACCTCATTACATCCTTTAGCCAACTTGAACTGAAGGGACGTGCTTAACACAGAGCGCGGAGGAAGACGGGGAGAACTTCTCTGACTTCTTTTTCATAATATGTTCCTTCTCTTCTTTGCCCCCACCCAACCACCACCACCACCATCATCCCCCACGCCCTTTTTTTTTGCAACTCTGGTGTTTTTTTGTTTGTTCCACTTCACAGTTTGACGAAGTGTAGGAGATGCTGCTGGGACTGCGGTTAGCCACGAGCAGGGCTGCTGAAGTCCCAGCCTGTAGGAATCTATCCAGGTCTTTCAGGATGCCTTTCACATGTGTGGAAACAGATCTACGGAGTGAAATAGGAACTCAAACATCACTCTCATTTGAATGACTGGGCAGAGAACGGAAACGCTGTAGCTAAAAGAAGCTACACGCCTGAAGCAAACTGCACATGAGCTGTAAAGTTACCTTTTTACCTTTTCGATGAACCGTATTCGGTTGCCAGTTCTGATGTTGATCAAAACTTTCCGACTGTATGTATGTGTAGTATTTCTCACTGTTTTGTAGACGTTTTCCATTCATGTGCTGTTTTCTCCCTCTACACATGCAGACGTGTGAAGTTTTATCCAGTGATTGAACTGTTAATGTTTTAGAAAGTAGAACTGCAGTCTTTAGATGCGCCCCTGCCGCTGACAGAAAGTTCTCATTTTAAACTTTGTTCAAATGTCTTAAACTAGTCCCCCTCGAAGGTGAACGGTGTCTATTTAAATGTGCCATCCTCGTTGAACATCTGTAATGTTGGTGTTGGAAAGTTACCTTAAGAATATTGCCAAACTGATGATTTGTGTGTGAAATAATAATTGGTATAATTCAGGAACTGATATCTAAAAACTTCCTTCCAATAAATGCCTTGTCTCACACAGAAGTCTGTCTACTCCCTCTGTCCAAATGTTTGTTAGACTGTACGGCAAAAAATAAGTTGACGTTCCCAGTAAAAAAGTGGAAAAGCTGGAAAAACGCGTTTGACTGACAGAAATGGCTAAAAGGTTAATTCACAGAACTCCTAAAATAAGTTTCTCAGTTATCTTTATTATTGCTATTGAGCCACACAGACACTAGTTTCCATTTTATGTGCCAACATTTTGGATTATTTGCTTTCTTCTCAATAGTTAGACAGAAAGTGCAAGAAATCAGATAAATTATTATTACATTTAAAGAAACTATTATTTAATGAGCTTTAGGTGTGCTGGTAGGTGGATTTTCTTTGGACAGAGCCTCTCTGTAGCTGGTAAGTGGTTATGCTAAGCTAAGTCAACTGTGCTGGTAGCAATAGCTTCATATATAGCTTTATGCTAAGCTAACTGGCTGCTGGTCCTTTTAGTTATTTTATTTGCCTTAAAGTAGTCAAATCAGTCTTAAAATACTGGAATTAACCTAAAACATACTGTTTTTAACTGTAAAATGTGATTTCCCAGAGAGGTTAGAAGCAATGTTCCACAAACTCACTGACCACATTTTGCTGTATTTTTATTGATACTGACAGCGTTGTGTGCAAACCTACATGAAAGTCATAACATCCATAGTCACACAATGCCCCAAAACTAAACCATTTGAAAAGATACAAAAATAATCTAGAAGTTTGTAATAGTATAAAAACAATTGTTCGGAAACGGTAAAACCAATTTACCAAAACGAAGTTGCATACAAAGCAAAAGGATTGATAACAGATTTCTGCTGAAGCTTTTAAGAAAAGCTAAATACTTGTAGATAAAAAAATAATATGTAACAAGTCAAACATTAATACATGTGGTGGTGATTATCACCGGTAACAGCAGTGTAACAGTTTGCAGCTTGTTCAGATGGAATAAATGCATCTAAATAATCTTAAAGCATGTTGCAGATACATGCGTCGCCTCGTGCAGTTACACCTTTGGATCTCGAGACCGTGTCACACCCCTACAGTTGGTCCGTCTGGTGCCCGGACACTTCAGACCGCGATAGGCCAACTGCACGCCCAAAATTGTCTGTGCACACTGTGCGAAAGCGGCTGTGACGGAACTCGATGGCAAAAGTGCCGAGGAAGACGAGGAAGAACATGACCAGCGCCCACTGACACTGAGCTGCTTGCATGTGGAGGCGCTGAGACATGAGGCAGAAGTCTGCAACAGGTGAGTTAAGGAATAATAGCAACCTGTGAAAGGACACACTCATATTCTGCTATCACTATGTGCATCTAGTTTAATAAAGTGGGATTCACTTACAGAACTGGGCAGATATAAAGTCCATCCTCAACTAGCTCCTGCTTCTGATTGGTTGAAATACAACCACTGCCATGTCTGTACCCTAAATATGAGTCAGCAGCCAGTTAGCTTAGCTTAGCATAAGGCCTGGACATCTAAACATCTAGCCAGGCTCTATCTAAAGATAACAACATCTACCTACGTGCACCTCTAATAATTCTTTGCAGTCTTTACCCTAAGGTAAGCTAACCGGTTGCTGAGTAAAGCTTCGTATTTTACCGCCCAGACATAAGAGTGTTATTGATCTAATGATCTAACCCTCAGCAAGAAAGCGAATAAGTATATTGTATATTATTTTAGAGCAGAAATGATAAGTTTAAGATTAATCGGCAAGTAAAATGACAAATACGTGATGGTTCTGCTTTGAATATCTTTACAAGAAAAGGCCCTTTAAACCCGAGTATACAAATAAATGAAGCGCCATTTCTCACGGTCCAAGGTGCTAAAAACAAAATCACAGTAATTCAACTTACAAGACAAGACAGCAACTGACACTGGGATGAGACAGAGCTGATCTGTTACGGTAAAGTGTCGTGAGCATCATAAAGTGCGTAGTGTAGGGCTGGACAATAAAACAATAACAATAATAATTTAACAAATGTTCAATAAATATTCAATAAATGTTTGATTTTATTCACTTGAATCATACACGAATTAGAATTTTACTCATGCATATGTGTTGACAAAGATTTTATCTTAATTGTATTTAATGTTCTATTAAATTAACCATCAGGCTTCTTCAATTTTCACTCAGGAGCAAAAATCAGCCTTTAATCTCTAAAGAAATAACAATTTGATACTTATCGTGATAATTATCGATATCGAAAGATATCGCTAATATGGTTATATCGTCCAGCCCTAGCGTAGTTCAACCTGTTTTTCAAGTACGTGTGCCTTATCTGTATATGTATACTTAAATATTAGGAACATCAGAAGTACTTAACAGTAGTAATAACTGTATGTAAAAAGTGCGGAAGTGTCTTAACAGCATGAACATTTGCATTAAGTGGACAGTATGTGCATGATGTAAGATATGTACATGTGCTTGTTGCTCATGCAGTGGATGTCAGCTGAGTATTCAAAAGTCTGACAGCTCGGGGGGAGAAGCTGTTGCAGTCAGTCAATGCATTTTTAAATATTTTCATTACTCTGTTAAACAGGTCTGAGTAAAAGGATACAGAGTATCATGCACACAGTGACGGATCCAGACAGCAGGAAGCGAATGATGCTGGCCATCCTCCCCTCATTCTCTATGTTTACTCTCAGGGTGATGTAGGACTGCACCCAGCAGAACAGCACCCCCAGCCCAAATGTCATTAAGGTGCCGAAGTTGTGGATCATCTCCTCAGTGAAAATCTAGATTAGATTAGAGCACGGGTTTTCAAAGTCTGAGACCGCGAGCCTCCCCTGAGACAAGGTAGAATCGGTGCCCCCTCGCCACATCTTTAGTTTACTTGGTAAGTTTCGCCAGAGGTTTCGCTCAATTCCTGGATGCCTCTGGGATCATGATTATATTACTTGACACTCAACATTTGAGCCAAAATAGCCTAATATTACTGTTTGACATAACTTCTGACTACACCAAATAGTTAAAAAAAAATATCTGTCCTAAGGCATTTATTATTTTCTGACTCTGATGGTGGGAAACAGTTCCCAAAAACCTCTGTATCCCTGAACTCTCACTCATGTAGGCTATTCTATGTGATCTCCTTTTGATGACTAATGCAATAAGTAATGTAGTATTGCTTCACTTCCATTCACTGAGCATCCCCTGAAACTGTTTGGACCCCCCTGGGGAGGCCCGCCTCACACTCTGAAAAGCCCTTGATTAGATTAACTTTATTAGCTCCGAGGAGAAATCTTTCTTGTGGCTTCGCAGACAAGACAATACATACACAGACAAAACCACACAATACTTCATACATGTATGAAATCAATGTTAAAAATAAGTAATATAAATATACATAATAAATAAATACAACTGGTAATATTAAGTAATTTAACTAATTAACGCTGCCCCATCTAAAACCAAACTCAATAAATGTTTTCACTCTTTACCTGTCACATCTCTGTTAGTGAACCTGCAGGGGAGTTCATCTATAAAATAAAAACTGGCTTATAAACTTGTCATGTATGTGTCAGCGGTGCATGTTACCTGGAAGTTTCCTACAAGAGTCATTCCAAAGCAGCCGATAGAGAAAACCACCAGACTACTGACGTTCAGCCACGGTTTGTCTATTCTCTGTTTGAGCTGAAGGTATCTGAGGACGGCAATGATGAACCCTGTAACACAGAAGAACCCTTTTCAAAAATGTACAATATTGTCGGTTTCTTCCTTTAAATATAAGTGTTTGTCAGATCTTGTGTTATAAGTGATCAACACTAGTCTTACCCACAAATGCAGCCAAGTTCATGACCTCGCTGAAGATGCAGCTGGCCGGAGGTGAGTTGCCTGCAATACTAAAAAAGGCGGACATTTGTATTTGCTCTGAAATAAAGATTATTTACAACAATAATATGCAATAATAAAATGCTTTTATTGTTAAAAAGACAGTGAGTATGTACCTAATGTACGGAGGATAAAAGGATCCATTTCTTCTCCTAAAAATAGAAAAAGATAAGTTTAATCCAAATATACAAAAGTAATCATTTGCTTCACATAATATTGTTTAATTCTTACCTGTATTTTGAACCCAGGGGTGCTATCACCTCATGGCGAACAGCTACAAAGTATCTATTAAAAAGACAAATAATAAAGATGTATACAATTATAATTTAATGTCTCTTTACTAATTCTTTTAAGTTGAAGTTGTGTTTGCCACTTTTTTAGTCGTTTTGCCTCTTTTTGTTGTCATATGTGTAGCTTTGTATTTGTTTTGCATCTTTTCATAGTTTTGCATATTTTTGTTGTCGTTTGTGTCTCCTGGAAGTCATTTTGGGTCTTTTTATAGTCATTTTGCATCTCTTTGTAGTCTTTTCTGTAGTCATTTGTGTCACTTTGCCTTATTGTAGTCATTGTGTCACTTTGTATTTGTTTTGCTTCTTTTCAAAATAGTTTTGCTTCTTTTAGTTTTTTTGTATTTGTTTTGCCTATTTTCAAAAATGTTTTGCTTCATTTTGTCGCTTTGTATTTGTTTAGCCTCTTTTCAGTTGTTTGCCTTTTTTTGTCGCTTTGTATTTGTTTAGCCTCTTTTCAGTTGTTTGCCTTTTTTTGTCGCTTTGTATTTGTTTAGCCTCTTTTCAGCTGTTTGCCTTTTTTTTGTTGCTTTGTATTTGTTTAGCCTCTTTTCAGCTGTTTGCCTTTTTTTGTTGCTTTGTATTTGTTTAGCCTCTTTTCAGTTGTTTGCCTTTTTTTGTCGCTTTGTATTTGTTTAGCCTCTTTTCAGTTGTTTGCCTTTTTTTGTCGCTTTGTATTTGTTTAGCCTCTTTTCAGTTGTTTGCCTCTTTTTGTCGCTTTGTATTTGTTTAGCCTCTTTTCAAAATTGTTTTGCATCTTTTTGTTTTTTTGTATTTGTTTAGCCTCTTTTCAAAATTGTTTTGCATCTTTTTGTAGTCATTTAGCGTCTCTTTGTAGTCTTTTTGAGTGTCTCTGTAGTCTTTTTGTAGGCTCAAAAACCTTTTTTTC